GGGGTTGGTCGTCTGTCTGCCTGTACGAAACATACACACTGTACTGACTACGAGGGTCTGTCATCTGTCTGTAAGGAACATTCCCACTTACTGACTACGGAGGTCGGTCATCTGTCTGTAAGGAACACCCACACATATTGACTTCGGAGGTCGGTCGTCTGTCTGTACGGTACATAAACACTGTACTGACTACGGGGGTCGTTCATTTGTCTGTACGGAACATTCACATGGTACTGACAACGTTGGTCGGTCGTCTGTCTGCACGGAACATACACACTGTACTGATAACGGTGGCCGGTCATCTGTTTGTACAGAACATACACACTGTACTGATAACGGTGGGCGGTCATCTGTTTGTACGGAACATACACACTTACTGACTACAGAGGTCGGTCGTCTGTCTGTACGGTACATACACACTGTACTGACTACAGGGCTCGGTCATCTGTCTGTCTGTACGGTACATACACACTGTACTGACTAAAGAGGTCTGTCGATTCTATGTACGGTATACGTACCTTTTAATGACTATAGAAGGTTTTTTTTCACTGTACGGTACATATAGTTTTTACTGACTACGGAGGTCTGTCGTCTGTCTGTCTGTACGGTACATACCCACTGTACTGACTACGGAGGTAGGTCGTCTGACTGTCTGTACGGTACATACACTTTGTACTGACAACGGGGGTCGGACGTCTGTCTGTACGGAACATACACACTGTACTGACTACGGGGGTCGGTCGTCTGTCTGTCTGTACGGTACATACACACTGTACTGACTAAAGAGGTCTGTCGATTCTATGTACGGTATACATACCTTTTAATGACTATAGAAGTTTTTTTTTCACTGTACGGTACATATACTTTGTACTGACTACGGAGGTCGGTCGTCTGTACAAACACCTTGTACTGAAATTTGAAATGTAATTAACATTCTCGTGTATACAACACTTTGCACGATTTCCTTTATAATATATTCTGTCTGTAAGACATATAGGTGCTAAGCTATACCTGGCTAGAAATGTGGCACACCTCCGGAAATGAATGTTGTCGTCATCTTCCTCATCACCATCATCATCATCATCATCATCATCATCATCATCATCATCATCATCATCATCATCATCATCATCATCATCATCATCATCATCATCNCACCATCATCATCATCATCATCATCATCATCATCATCATGAATGTTGTCGTCATCTTCATCATCATCACCATATCATGTTCCTCATAATCATCATCATCATTCTCAAAATCGTCAACATTTTCATCATCATCACCATTATCATCATCATCATCATCATCATCATCATCATCATCATCCTTACAATCAGCATCATCACCATCAACATTATCACCATCAGCATCACTATCTCATCAGCATCCTGATCCTAAACGTTCAAACTATCCTGGGATCTGTCTACCGAAACAAGGAAGTAAGTAGTATAAATATCGAATGGGAAAGGCGGAGTCAAAATTCCGGATACTGCACGCTTCGTTTTATATAACGCTGTGTGTTTTTTTACAACATTTCGTGTATTATTATTCACGATGTGTTATGTGCTGTTTGTTTTGTATGAAATAAAAAGAGGCTACATAGGTGTTGTGTTGCTGTTTGTGTAATTAACGTTGAGTAAGGAATATAGTTATATAGTATAGTATAAACTTGCATTAGTTATTTTCCTAAGATTGGAAAGTATGAGAAGTTTTGATTGGTGTCAATCGTATTAAACAGAAGACATTTTATTAGAAAAAGAATAATGTACTTTGGTAAGATGGATATGGGTAAACATACAGTTTCCATCACAGGAAATGTTATGAGCAATCTGATTATTTCCTAAGAAAATTAGGGTGATAACGGCGACCAAGAGGTTTGAATTAGGTTTATTTCGGAAGGTAGAATGAGTCTCTCTTAGACGGACTTAAATAAGTACATACTTTACAGATGCAATAGGTTAGCCTGGAGCTGGTGTGATTGTTGGCGACTATGTATCCTTCTTCCGGTCTAGTCGGGTCAAAGCTAGGATAAGGCAACATTAGCCTAGGAGTCGTCTCTCATAAAACCATAATCTTGAATAAGAGACCAGACGTCGGTATGTACGGTACGTATTCATGTTACTGGCTAACGAGATCAGACGTCCGTCAATGCGGTTCATACACCATGTACTGACTTCATAGATTGGTCGTCTGTCTGTACGGTACATATACCTCGTACTAACTACGGATTTCGGTCGTCTGTCTGTACGGTATAAACACATTGTACTGACTACGGAAGTCGGTCGGCCGTTAGTACGGCATATACACCTTGTACTGAAAACGGAAGTAAGTCGGTCGTCTGTACGGTACATACACCTTGTACTGATTACAGTGATCGATCGATGTCACCTCGCACATCGTGTAACGTTGTTCGATCCCACAACTATACGAAGGTCGGTCTTCTTTCTGTATGGTGCATACAGCTTGTACTGAATACGGAGGTCGGTCGTCTTTCAGTACTGTACATAAACCTGTTACTGACTACAGAAGTCGGTCGTCTGTCTGTACGGCACATACACCATATACTGACATCAGATGGCGGTTGTATATCTGTAAGGTAAATACTTTTTTTACTTGCCACGGGGGTCTGACGTCCGTTTGTACGGTACATCTTCCTTGTATTGGCTACGGTTATCGGACGTCCGTCTCTACTGATCATACACGATGTACTGACTACGCAGATCGGTCGTCTGTCTAAACAGTTCATACACATTGTACTGACTACGGATGTCGGTTGTCGGTCTGTACGGCACATACACCTTGTACAAACTACAGAGATCGTTCGTCTGTCTGTAGGGTACATACACCTTCTACTAACTCATTAGGTCGGTTGTCCGTCTGTACGGTACCTATATCTTAAACTGAATGCCGAGGACAGACAGACAGGCATTCTCTATTTCCTCTGATAAGATATTACATGGTCTTGTCGTTTTTAACAATTTCAACAATTTACAACACGAACACTACAAGTGTACATACTATTACAGTTTGCAACTGTATTTTTCAAACTATGCGCAAGAGCTGCTCTGAAGAGTTATGTTCATTTCTGTGAACATCCCAGCAAGTTTATCACCAATAGCAAACAACAGATTGTCCCGTTCTCCATCGTCCAAACAACACACATTGTTCTTGCCACGGAGGTCGGACGCCTGTCTGTACGGTGCATACATCTAGTTCCGGATACAGGGGTCGGACGTCCGTCTGTACGGTACATCTTCATTGTACTGGCTAACGAGATCAGACGTCCGTCTGTACGGTTCATACATCATGTACTGACTACACAGATCGTTCGTCTGTCTGAACGGTATATACACCTTGTACTGATTACGGTTGTCGGTCGTCTGTCTGTACGGTATACAAGCATTGTACTGACTACGGAAGTCGGTCGGCCATCTGTACGGCATATACACCTTGTACTGACTACGGAAGTAAGTCGGTCGTCTGTACGTCACATACACCTTGTACTGATTACAATCGATCGATGTCATCTCGCACATCGCGTAACGTTTTGCGATCCCACAACTTTACGAATGTCAGTCATCTTTCTGTACGGTGCATACACATTGTACTGAATACGGAGGTCGGTCGTCTTTCAGTACGGCACATACACCTTTTACTGGCTACAGAGATCGGTCGTCTGTCTGCACGGTACATACACCTTGTACTGACTACGGAGGTAGGTCGTCTGTCTGTACTGTACACATACCTTGTACTGGCTACGGAGATCGGACGTCCGTCTGAACGGATCATACACGTTGTACTGACTACACAGATCGGTCGTCTGTATGTCCGGTACATAGACCGCGTACTGACTACGATGTCGGTCGTCTGTCTGAACGGTTTATACACCTTGTACTGACTACGGATGTCGGTAGTGAGTCTGCACTGTGCGTACACCTTGTACTGGGCGTAAGTCTGTTCGGTACTTACATCTCATACAGGCTACGAAAGAAGTTCGTCTGTTTGTACGGTACATACACCTTGTAATGACTACTTAGGTCGGTCGTTTTAAATGAAATTAACATTCATGTGTATACAATACTTTGCGCAATCTCCTTTTATATATATATATAAATGTCTATATATTAATCCGCCTGAAGAAGCCCTAGAAGGCAGAAAGGTCTAGCGGACGATCTGAAAAAAATATGTTTTTATTCTATATTTACGTATATATTATAAAAAGATATATTCTCAACAACGAGTCTTTAGTACTTTCATCTCTTGTAGGAGATTCTTCAGACTGTTTATTTGAAGTATATAATGTGACGTCATAAACTATATACGTACCCGCCATAGCGATATCACAGCAGTATAAATACATTAGTTATAGTCTTAAGGCAAAGAGTACTTTTTGTTTAGGATTTATAATTACTAATTATACTATCAATTACAACAACAAAAAGTAATAATAAAAATAAAAAATAAACTCGGTACCGTTACTTTACAAACGTGACTCTCCTATAGACAAAATACAAATTATAAAACACGCTGATTGAAACTTGTCACGGCATATATGTATATACATATATTCGCTGCCGGTACACATTCAAGGTCACAGTGTTTTATATACATCTGAAGATCAGAGTTCACGACAACACATTATTGTTATTATGATGAGATTTTCTGGCGGATAAACGCATTGACATGTTGATACTTACTTGGTTTCATCAAACATTCATCTGGTATGTGAGAGTTTTATTTTAAAACACGTGTAATAATTATCAATACACTAAACATACTATTTATATGTACATATGATATATAATAACGATAAAACAATCAACGTAATTTAAATATATGGTGCTATTTTATTTACTTTGTTGTAAAGCTATAGGTTTTAATGCGAATGTGTTTTTTTAAATCACTTGGAATAATTATCAATACACTAAACATTATATGTATGTGTACATATGATATATATAAAAAAAGATAAAACAATCAATGTATTTTGAATAATTGATTTTATTTGATTTGCTTTGTTGTAAAGCTATAGGTTTTACACAATCACACTAAAACATTGCTAAACATATGAGAAACTGGTGTCTTTCGTGTTTACACCTGCTCTTAATTGGCTGAAGTAAAATGTATATAAATCTATGCACGGTGTTTATTCTGTCGTTACGATATACACCTACATCCTAAGTGTTCAGCATACATTGATTTTCCTTTAGTTTAGTTAGTACAGCTGATAGACACAGATAAAGTTTTCCTCGTCAGTACTACTATTATTAGTTATCACAAATGTGTCACCACAAACAGCTATTGCCCATGGAAAGTTAATTCCATCTGATGACGTCATAAGTTCCCTGACGTGTGTCCCGTCCTTAGACATCTGTACGATGTTGTTCGATTGCCAACCACACACGTAGATGTTACCCTCCCTGTCCATGTCTATTCCCCTAGCATCCCTCACGACACCGACCTTCATCACATCCGTACGGCGTTTGTCAGCCGACAGCCTAGCTAGACACCGCAACGTCCCCCGGGGTGGTGTTACTGACACTGACAAGTGTGTCACCTTTTATAGGATCATGTGTTAAAGACCAACAGTAGTAAATATAATTATATAACAACGCAGCTGCTCCGTTCTGTGTCACACTGTATACTTCTCCTCCATGTGTACCCACAACAAACCTCCCGTCTGTATGTGTTATACCATAACACTCTTCATCATTTGGCATGTTGATCTCGGATGCCAGGAAGAGTTTTGAGGCCTTGACCTTTACGACACGTATACCGCCAGGCACCTCGACAGCGACCGCCACCGTGTTGTTGTCCACCAGACACATATCCCAGGGATATCCCCGAACAGTCAACTCGTCCAGGTACTGGCCTTTGTCTGTAAACAATTTCAGCTTTTGGTTGTTGGAATCACTTACTAATATTTGGGTACATGGTAGGTTCACAACACCACGGACAGAGCAATCATTAGTATCTGACGGGGACTTGATGCTGAATTTTCCGATTTTTTTCACACGTCGTTCTGACATTGGTTTTTCTAAATCGCTATAACACCCGGGGATACATCGTGGTGTTTTCCCGACGACGATCTTCCCCATCGTGTTATCACTAATGGTATCATGTCCGGCCATAATTTGATGATCGATGATGACGGATGTGAATGACTTGCTGATTTCCTTGAAAAGGGTCTTACACGACTCCACTTCTGCCTGTCCTCTCTGATACAGCACTACCGTCTCAATGTTGTCGTTTTCCTGTACGGCTTTAATGGACGACTTCAGAGTATTTTTCATTCCGTTCATCAGACGTTCGCACTGCCGTGATGCTGCCTCCATGTCTCCTTTTTCTTTTTTGAACAAGGAAATCAACTCGTCGGTGATATCTTTCTGAAGTTTGTCAAGTCGTCTATCGACCTTTTGACGCATGTCGGAGATGCTCTGCAGTGCGAATTCCTGGTTCTGTATCATGGTTTGAAGCTGTTCATCAAAGTCCTTCACTAATAAGTTCATACTCTCTGTTCCTTTCTTCAACGCCGTCTGCATGTCTTCTAGCTGCGATCCTGCTTTTACCTTCTGACAATATTCCGTCACCTTTGGTACTTTTCCACAATTCCTATGGTCTTCGATCACGCATTCGTTACAGCACATATATTGGTGTTCCTCACAATACCGAACCATTTTCTTGTCGTGTGTGTAGCATCGCGGGGCAGACTTCTCCTTATTTGGTCGTTTGCTATAGTTTCCGGTGACATTCATTATATCACAGTCATTATGTATGATATCATGATGTTGTACCTTGCAAGAGTCGCAAAAGTTCTCGTTCATCGTCTTGCACCAAAAACTGGCTGGGTTGTTCAGGTTACCTTTTGTCTTGCAGGGTTTGCAGTACAATGGTTCAGACGAACTTTTCACAAGCTGGATTAGGTTAATAATCATAGTATTAGTCGGAAATTGTTCTGCCCACTTATCTTTGGTTTCAGCCTGATTAACCGGATGGGTCATCCTCCTACAAACTGGACACGGGAATGATGGTGCGGACGCCATCTTCTCGGACATCTCCTTGGTGATATAAGTCCCTAGGCAATCCTGACAAAAGGAGTGGAGGCAGGGTAAGGACTTAGGCTGTTGGAGTCGCTCCAGGCAGATTGGACATTCCATTAAGTGTAAGTCCAGTTCCGGAGGGAGACCGCCCTCAGCCATTGTAAGAGACAAAAAGGGTCAACACAGACCTGAAATAGAAAATGACAGTGATTATAATCTAAAACCAATAAGAAAGACAGCTATAGAAACCGATAATTAACACCTGGATAATTATTTACGTGATTATCTCATAAATGCCGATGCAATTTAATCACCATTAAATATTGCACAAGTAATTCAATTATGATTTAAAACAAACTGTCTATGGAAGACATTGTGTTTAATATGACATATGGTGCGTAATGGCTAGCGTTTCTATAGTACGAGTGGTACCATTTGTTTTAGTTTTTGAAAGGTTCCTGTCAGTTTTTGATCAATAATTGTATTGTTGAAGTTTGTAAAACTTTATCACAAAGTGATATTTCCCGTATGGCATTTTACATATTTTGTATAGCGTATATTTCATTTAGTGGCATTGATGAAAACACTGTGTGAATTCGAACTTGAACTTGAATGTATATGTATGTCTGTTTAAAAATAATTTCCCCGAGAAACAGCAATACTGGGCAGCACAGTACATGGCGACACACTGGTTATCACAGTAAAAGGTGACATACTGATTATCACATTACAGGGCAACATACTCGTTATCACATTACATGACAATGTACAAGGTTACACAGGCATGTACGATGTACTGCGTTTTACAGTAAAGAGCGATAGACGTGTTATCACTGTATATGGCGACGCACTGGGTATCACGGTACAGAACGATGTGCTGGGTATCACGGTATGGGGCGACGTACTGGTTATCACATTACAGGGCCACGAACTGGATATCACATTGCAGGGCGACGCACTGTGTATCACAGTACTGTGTATTACCCTACAGGCGACGTATTCAGTATCACAGTATAGGACGATGTACTGATTATCACCGTATCACAGTATCACGTTCTGGTATCACATTACACGGCAACGCACTAAATATTACGGATCAGGGTAACGTACTTGCCAGCACAGTACAAAGTGACGTACTGATAATTATGGTATAGGGCGACAAACTGGGTAACACAGTACAAAGCGACGCACTGGGTTTCACGGATCAGTGTAACGCACTGGATATTATAGTACTGCTAAATAGACTTAGTATCATACCATGGGGCGCCGTATTTTGTATCACAGTACATGGTGACATCCTGAGTATCACAATTAAGGTCGACGTACTGCGTATCACAGTACAGGCCAACACTCTGGGTAATTTATTAAAGAGGAACGTACTGGATACCATAGTACAGAGCTACGTACTGGGTGTCACAGTATATGGCAACAAACTGAGTATCAAAATACAGGACGATGCACGGGATATCACAGAACAGGGTGATGAATTGTGTATCAAAGTACATAACAACGCAAAGTGTATCACTATACAGTGTGACGTACTGTGTATCACATTAAAGGGCGACGTACTGGGTATCACAAGTGCCGTACTTAGTATAAGGCGACAGGTCGGGTAACACGGCACAGAGCGACGTACTGGGTATTACAGCAGAGGGCGACGTATATGGTGTCACAGTACATGGTGACGTACTTGGTATCACAGTTCAGGGCGACGTCCTGTGTATCACAATCCAAGGAGACCTACTTGGTATGGCGTTATAAGAGGACGTTATGGGTACATGTATCACAGTACAGATATACGTACTTGGTATAACAGTACACAGCGACGTACTGGGCATCACAGTACAGAGCGACTTACTTTGTACCAATGTACAGGGCGACGTATTGGGTATCACGGTATAGGGCGACATACTAGGTTTCACAATACAGAACGACGCACTGGCTGTCACGGATCAGGATAGAGCACTCGGAACAGGGTTACGTACTGGATATACCAGTAAAGGGCGATGTAATAGGATCATAGTACATAACGACGTACTAGGTATCACAGTGCAATTTACCCTAGTCCTTAACCTAGTCATGGTATCAAAATACAATGCGAGGTGGTATCAAAATACAATGCGAGGTACTAAGTATCAAGGTAAAGGGCGACAAACTGGGTATCACAGTGCAGGGCGACGTTATGGGTATCACAATTCAAAGGGTCGCGTTGCTAGGTATCGCAGTAGAGGGTGATGTTGTCAAGTTGGGTCGCGATAAAGGGTGACATTGTGATGTTTTATCGCGGTAAGTGTATCGTTGTGAAGGTGAGTCGCGTTAATGGCGACGAATTAACCGATTGCATTGTATTACTGATTTATTTCATTCTAGTTTGGGAGAATCTGACATACCGGTGATCCAACTAATTAAAGTTTTACTTTACTTATTAAATATTGTAGAGGCAAGTTGCCAATCCAGTCATTTATATGTATAGTTAAACATTGATTAACATTATATATATATTAGAAGGATCTTGGTTTGTCTGTTGTGGTCGCTAATGTCCAAAATACAAATGAAGTTATATGGTCAGGACAGCCGACGTCTGGATATAACGACAATCGCTGTATGTACCTGATCATATTAACTCATCAACCAGACACAATTTCTACAGATAACAAACACGACACGAAGTCGCAAGTTGCATTACCGTTAGTTTATATATGTATATATAAAAAGTGTGTTAGAATTGTTTAGCGTGTACAAGTGTGATATAAACAGACAAATATACTGTGTTTGTGTAATGTATAGAACGTGTATTTTACAATACTGCTTTATGTCCCTAATAATACTCACCAAATACACTTCTTATTAACAAGGAGAGAACAGTCTGGTCTCCTACTGACAGGTCACCTGTTTGTACTTTGAAACCATGACGTGAGTAAGGTAGATTATACAAATTAAAATGGAGTGTTATTTAACTTCCGGAAAAACAAATAGGTACAAACAATTGCACGCGTTTAAAATATATCAGTTTTGGTAAACAAAAATTACAATGATCAAGTAGAAATAAGAAATGATATTATAAAAAGAATGAAATAAATCAAAAGTTTTTGAAATATATTGTCTGTCTGGTGTGTTTATTTAGAAATAATTACCCATGCATAAGAGTTATTTCATTTCTGAGTTAGATACCAAAAATATGTGATTTTAAAGTTTGCCGTTTGTATAACTTATTTGATGATAATGCTGTTAACAAGTTGTATGCTTTACTCGTTTGTCAATGGTATTTAGGTATATTTTATTACTTAATGATATGATAAGAGGACGGAAGGAGAGATGCTAAGATATAACACATATATTTTAATTGTAAAACATTTTAATACTTACATACATCCGCTGTATGCCCCTTACACTGAGATACAAAGAAACTGACATAAGATAATTTGACGGATAATTTGAAATACCGAAGGAAACAATTTGGCATTTGCAGAACCGGGGAAGAAGATTGCTACAAATAATATATCCTATAAAGACTGTTGAAATATGATCCCGTTATTCTGATATGTATCATTGCTTTATTATTTAAGGGTGTTTAATCTAAAGGATGCAAAATATATATAATAATTTTGTCATACTTGGCAACCCGGACCAGAACATTGTTGACATTAGTCTCTCTTTTTACCTATTTTTAACGTGACAACGTGAATACAATTTTTTACAAATCAAATGATGAAATCGATGCAATTTGAGTATAAATATTTGACAAAAAACCCCCCAACTTATTGAATTGATTGATATAACCCTATTTCAATCACGAATAATGAACAGTGCAATGTCGTTTATATAAGTAATACTGAATTACATACATATGGGAGCGTGATGTTAGTCTTAAACCAAAATTACTGAGATTTCTTGTACAGAAGCTACTCGCTCCTTTCTGGTGATTTTAGGGACACAGTAAGTTCGCTTATAAAAAATGAAAAAAAATCCATATAAAACATTTATTCATCCGCCATATGTTTGGATTTAATGGAGGGGTCGGGTGGTGGTGATTTGGGCCTTTTGGTGTTATTACAGTTTTAATTTATTTTTCATTTTTATTTTTCGCATAGACACAACTTTGTGTTGTGTGGTCATGGTATAAACATGAGATATGAGGGGGTAAAGTCTGGGACCAAGATTACAATTGTCCTCTTTTTGACAAAAAGCGACATTGAATGCAAATCTTAGTGTATTAGGTCAGTGAATAAAAAAAAGTGAAAACTGACGCTGACATTCATATAAAAGGATTGTGTGTGGTTTTAGTTGTGATTGTGCTTTGGTTTATTTGTGTGTGGTCGGTAATCAGTGAAATTATGTTATTCACACTAACAAGTGGATATACAAGTGTGATATGACGTTTTTACCAGCAGTCTCGCAGTGACGTTGAGTCAATCAAGGCTATATAGGTAAGCCAGCATATGTTTTCTAATTTTCTTTTAACTATAAGATGACTATGCTTTGTTGTGACTAGGCAAATGAAAATGGAAACTGGCAATGCTTTATTTTTTGCCGCCTTTAAAATTCAACATCAATAGAGTAATATGTACATTAATTAACTTGTCAACTCATGCCTGTTCTCACCTCAGATAAGGGATACTTTTCATTATCTGTATATCTATTCGAGATTACACTTATGGTCAGTATGTATAATATAATCTATATTAACCATTCTTAAAGTTTATGTCCTTTGTAAAGCTGTCCCTGGTAGACATATTTTAACAGCGTCTAAATTACACTGTTATGCAAATGTATACCCACTCTATGATGTGAAGATGACTCAGAACTAGCCTAATCTTACACGTAATCTCAAAATTCATAAACTCCCTGTTACAAAACGAATCGAAAGGACATCGCTCCGGTAACCAAAAATATCACCTATATGACAGACAAGTATTCCAGTATCTTTGATAACGAAACCGTGCAGATAACAGACATGTCACGAAGTGAAAAAGTTACATGACCGTCGGTTTACACATATCTAAATAATTAAATGTGTGTCAGAATTGCATAACACGTTAAAGTGTTATATTAACAGACACAAATGCAGTGGTTTTGTAATGTAAAGCAGGTTCAATTACTGCGTTGAATCCCTAATACTCACCAAATAAACTCCTAAATAATATGGAGAGACCAGACTGGTCTCCTTCCGGTTGGACACGTGTTTGTACTTTGAACCGATGACGTATGTAAGGTATATCATAAAGTTCAGATAGTAGCGATGTTAATTTTCAGGATTTAGAACGAAATCAAGTTGATTACATTATCTATTTTATAGCTACGAGAATCTAAAAAATAGTCATTTACTATATTGCTTGTTACTGTAATGGTAAATGAGTACAGACTAAGTAACAATGATATGATCAGTGATTACTTTCTGAATAAAATCAGCTCAATCAGGAAAAATATTACCGAAGTGAACACCTCTGCTAACATTGACATCTCTGTCATGACTGCTGACATTGCATTTGATGGGGAACCATTGACAAAGCTCTCATCAACAACCCAGGACGAGTTGCGCAACAATATCATGACCTCGCAATCGAAGTCCTGTGAGCTTGATCCACTGCTTACAGACCTATTAAGGCAATGTCTTGAAGCACTGCTTCCTTTAATTACCGCAATCATGAACTAACCATTGGTTGAGTCAAAGGTTTCTTTATGTTTCAAGAAGGCACATGTCAGACCATTGTTAAAAAAAGCCTGGAATGGACAAGGAGGAGTTAAAAAACTACCGCCCAGTTTCAAATCTGCCTTTTCTGTCTAAGATCTTGAAGAAGGTTGTGTCCCGGCGTTTAGAGGTGCATCTCCGTGCAAACAGTCTCCATGACAACATGCAATCGGCCTACCGCATGGGACACTCTACTGAGACGGCCTTCCTACGTGTACATAGCTTCTGCATTGGATAACAAGTCCAGAGCGGTGCTTGTTATGCTGGACTTGTCAGCTGCATTTGACGTCATCGACCATGGCATACTTTATTAACGTCTGGAATACTCTTATGGAGTGACTGATACCGCACTATGCTGGATACAGTCATACCTGAGTGAACGACGACAATGTGTTGCCATCGGATCTGCCACCTCACATGACAAAGTACCAGATTTCGGTGTTCCTCAGGGTCGGTGTTAGGACCACGAACATATTGTATGTACTCCAAACCGATTGGATAGATTTGTCGTCGCCATAGCCTTCGCTATCATTGCTATGACGATGACACACACATTTACATGGTCATAAAACCACAGGACAGTTTGAATACAGTCTCAGAAAGTCTGGAAGCTTGTCTGACAGATATCAGTATCTGGATGACCGCCAACATGCTTACACTTAATCAGGAAAAGACGGAACTAATCGTCTTTTCCCCAAAGTGTCAGCAAACAATGGTTCTCCAGCTCAAGGTTGGTGCCAGACCTATTGAGACTGTTCCAGCTGTTTAAAACCTAGGCGTATACTTTGACAGTTCTCTGAACATGGAGAAACAAGTGAACGCTATTGCCAAATTCTGTTACTACCAGACCAGGAACATCGGCTGTTTATAATTGCAGATGCATGCAAGATTTTGGTGCATTCACTTGTTACCTCTCGGTTGGATTATGATAACGCCCTACTCTGTGGTGTATCTGACAAACTAAATAGTCGTCTGCAGAGGGTCCAGAACACTGCAGCACGGCTAGTTACTCGTACTCGAAAGAGAGAACACATCACACCTGCGCTTTGTTCGTTGCACTGGTTACCTATAAGATGCATATCGCAGTACAAAATTCTGGTATACACATACAATGCACTGCACGGAACAGCTCCTCAGTACCTACAGAAGCTTGTTACCTTGTATCAGCCGTCAACATCACTGCGGTCGGAGTCATAATCTTTGTTGTGTGTCCCAAAATCTCGTACTGTGACATACGGAAACAGATGCTTTGGGAGGGTTTCGGCTACGTTGTAAGACAGCTTTTCATCTGTTATAAGGAAGTCAAATACCCTGGCCAAGTTCAAGAGGGACATACAAACTCACCTCTTAACGTCTGCATTTTAGAATCTTTGCAAAGACGTAATGTAAATACCATCCTTTTATTTGTTCAATTATGTGCACATTGCTTGTTAAATGTATGAAAGTGATTGCAAGCCTTTGTTGTTTGTTTTCACAATTATAACCATTACTATTATCCATATGTTGTAAAGCGCCTTAGAGTAATATTACAAATCATATAGGGCGCTATATAAATGTTTTATATTATCATTATTATTATATGAGGAAAAGGCGTGAGACCAAAAATGTCAAATTGGGCGGGGTTTGGAAAATTTGTCAAAAATCCATCGATTGAATATTCTAAAAAAATTGAGCAACTGGCACGTTTTAATTGACGTTGATTTTTTCTATTGATCATAATAACAATTCGTAATTGCCCTTAATACTTGTTGGGTATCCATTGGACGCCCGTGTTAATATAAAGCTTCAGGAAGGAGAGATGCTACCACTTGTTATAGTGATTGAAAGTGTTCTGCAGACATTTGTATACACGCAGCCACCGGGTGAATGTCCATCTTAATACATAATAAGAAACTGTCACGTGGTAATTTGACTGACTTATTCAAACTAAGGAGGTCTTGCTGCATCTGTGGCACTGGAAAAGAAATTGTAAAATCATATAACCTGAAATAAACTTTCTTAAAATGTGATCCTTATATGTGTCATCGTTTAACTATTTCAGGACGAACACCCAAAGGAAAATACAACACTGTGCTAAATATTACATATGACCTCGGAGACATATCTTTAACAGGAGGAGGGGGATAATGTTAAAATCAATTATATTTTACCTGTAGTCAACATGAACACAAGTTTAAAGCAGTCAATACGAAGTAATTCAATGTCAGTTGAATCGATTGTCC